TCATGTTTGCCAGGTGGCACCGAAGCCCCCCCTGATGTTAATCTGTCCCAACCATGCCAAGCTTTAAAAGGTGGCCACACTGGCTACATTAGGATTGTTACTATTACAGCCTTCCAAAGCCCATTACCTGCTGATCTATTTAAAGCTACTGTAGGAAGCCTCTTTCCTCAGCTACCTTTGATGTGCGCCTCACCTCAGCAGAGGCAGTTTACACAATACATCATATACACTGATTAGACATAATGACAGTCTCTTAGACCAGACTGTGACGACACAGAGTTCATGTTTTTTTTTTCTGAGTGTTGAGATTTTGCTTCACATTAGTCACCAATCTGAAATGCTGTTGTTACTGCTTGTCTCCAGGCATTGTACATTTAATGAATATCAAATAAACTGTGGTAATTCCATACACTGATACATTGAATACCTGGCTTACAATCAGAGTATCAACAAAATGTCACTTTTTTTTTTTAAACTGAACATTTCACCAATCAAAACGACTGTTTGACATTTTCTAATAAGTTCACTCACTGTCTGAGATTACATACCATGATTATGTCTGTAATTTAAAGGAGCAATATGTAAGATATCTACTGAACTAAATGACTAAATTGCCTAACTATGTCATCAAACATTAAGGAAACATACTATGTTGAAGTGATGGCTTCTCTGACAACAGTGTAGCGGCCTGTACGTCCTCCTTCTAAGTCTTGATTCCGGTCCTGACCAGTGAAGGGAAGCGGTTTTATGGCACCCCCATTATGACTGTTTTGGACACCCCTCGGTTTGCCATATATCAGACCAACAGGTGTTGCAATGATGGAAGCAGGCAAGTGAACTGAGTTAACCCGAGCTAAAAAAAACCTTGGCATTTTTCTAAGAGCCCCACAAGCAGAAACGTGGTAAATCTAGGATAAATATTGGAGATGCTTTTGAAAAATGGAGAGAGGTTAGAGGGCAGACAGGTTTCAAGACTGATGCAGAGCTGGATAAACACTGACGCTTCCATGTCTGCGTGGCAACCAGCATGCACATCGAATATGGGGGGAGGTTACAGGGGGAGAAGCTTCAACTATAGGGAACATGCAAAACCAGCTTTATAGTAAAAAACATGTTGTATTTGATTTGTTTTTATGTACAACAAGCCAAAGTGTCAAAATGAATAATGGTCCTTTTTTTCCTGAAGGTTATCTTCTTGTCTTTGCTTGACACCTTGACTCTTTAACAAAGTAGATGTGTGGGTATAGTCGGGTTTTTGCCCTTCAGACTGAGAAAAGCCTCTATTTCCATTCTCAATGGTAAAGTACTCAGACTGTCTGAAGATCATATTTAAAAGGGGAATTCTGGTATATTTTAACATGGGCCTCGTTTGAAATACATATTGTGGTATCTGAATGACCAATACATATAAAACTTCAATCTCCAGTAAGCTGCTTCAACCACCAATTGAAAAACAAGCTGTAAAGTATGACCATTACAATGGTCATTTTTTCCCCACAAACATTCACATTTTCTGACAACAGACGGGTCCATACGAACTATTGCATTGTTGCAATGTTAAAGATGTAAGCAGGCCCAGAGGGAGATAATGTTAGCCAGGAGGCTAGCACCTAACACAACTGATCAAATGTGCATAATGTTCATTTAAATCATATCCTGGGCCCATTCACTGGGCCTTTAAGGGGCCCAGCCATTTCTGCGGGCGGGCCTGATTACAAGTACAATACAAGGAAGTACATTTGGTTTATTATGTAACTTTGGTGTTTTAAATGTGTAGTCTGGATAAAAGATGACACAATGAAATATCTACTTAACCAAAGTGTTGGAGCAGTAACTCCTATATGTTATAAGAGGTATATGTTATTTTTATGTACTTTGATTGGGCTCATTTTCCTTGACAGATAACTCTTCAGCCATTCTATCCTTGAATCTTTCAGTATTATGACCCCCATATTTGTCCCAATCACAAAGGTGAAAGTATAAATAAACCAAAGCAGATGAATCTGATAATGATTTCCCAAGCTTCGACATCATTTGAATGCAGTATGTGTCGAAGATGTCCTTGATTTTTACTTGAACTTTCATGCAACGCAGAATGCAGCTTAGTGGGGAAGAAGTTCACCTGATTCAGCTTTTTTTTTTTAAAATTTGCTGCTCTGTCAGAAACGCTGCTGCCCCGTATAAAGTTAACACTCTTAAGATTCATGAATTCATGTCAGAGATTTCTTCAAGGCTGATATCGCTCACTGAAGAGAGGAGCAGGGGGAGACATCCACACCTACAGAGTCAAGATGTTAGGCTTCAGTTCGGGGGGAATTCTGCAGCAGCCCACCGTGGGCGGAGCCGCTCTCCAGGCTCACAAACGCTCAAAAACCACAACTGGCAAACAGAGCTGTGACATCAGCGTCTCTGCACCACATTTCAGTGCACTGCATATGAGCAGCATGTGTACGACACAATTGGAAACAGACACGAGCAGATTGTTGGGTGCAGTGTAGTAAAGGCAGCGTGCACCGCGTTGAACACTGGGAGCAGCGGGAGTGTTGACCTTCAGTGATACTGAGCAGATGCCGGTTAAGTCACAGGTCAGGCTAAACGATATGTCCCTTTGAAACTACTGTAACACAGCAGCTATGGTATTTCATATCACTCATATTGTTCTTGTCAGGTTTCTTCTCAACTCATATTTGCCCTGACATGTCATGCAGTCCAAAATCATAACCTCTGCTGTCCAAATGTTGCATTCTGTTGTACAAGGGAACAAAAACCACTCTCTATGAGACTCTATCAAGTCATTATGGATGATTTCTCCATGTAGAAGTCACAGGATATTCAAAGTCAACAACTACAACAATAGCTAGCTTTACAGGAAAGGAGATAATGATCAAGTAGGTAATTCAAAGTTAAGCTCACTTAAAGTCAATGACATGACATTATTATTGCAGCTATTGCCGAGGGGACACATTAATAGCCGTGACCGGGCAAACTGGACACACAAAATGGTTGTAATAAATGTTTTTCAGTGGTCAGATACTCTGCAAATGATTTCCACTGGGAGGAATATACAAGCCAGGGCCGCAGCAGAAGCTTACCAGCCTCCCTTCAGTTCCAGGGATTTCAGTTATATACAACATCTGTGTCAATATTATGGAGGTTTAAGGGTCCTCTGTTCTTTTAAGAGGTGGAGAGGGTGCAAAACCTTCAGCTCTGAAGGCCTCGAGCCAGACGGCTGTATAGTAAGTTTTGGCAAACCTTACAGGAGAAATCCAAACAAAAGAAGTGGAACAAAGTTTGATCAACTGCTTTGAATGAAAACGATAAACATAATGTTCAAGAGGAGTGAGGCAGATTAATGTAATGTTTCACATTCATTGGTAACAGCTGCAACTGAGGGATCTTAAGCTACTGATGAATCTTCTTTCCAATTAAAAGATGAATTGTTCGGCCAGCGGGGGGACAACAATGTTGTTGAATTTACAATTGTAGATATTTTCGCATATGCATTTATTTTTATTAAATTGATTAACCCTAATTTTCCAAACTCAGTAGCTCAGTCTGTAGGGAAATTGGGTTGGGAACCAGAGGGTCGCCGGTTTGAGTCCCGGTGCAGACCAAAATACGGAAGCCGTTCTGGTCAGCGCCAGGGCTCTTCCTGAGCACTGCCGAGGTGCCATTGAGCAAGGCACTGAACCCCCACCCGCTCTGAGGTGCTCAATAACAGAGTGTAAATCCAGAATTTCCTTAGGGATTAAAAAAGTCAAGACAAAATTCAAAATCCCCAAAAAGTACAAACCCCAGTGGATCCTCACCATGTTGTTCCAGTTTGACAGGATTTCATAAGTTACTTTTTCTGGATAACTTCCTAATCATTGTCTGCAGTTTTTTAAATCAGTGCATGGTTTATATTTTGTGGGCTTTTCATTAGAGCTCTATAACGATTAATCGGCCGATATTAGCATATCCAGTGACTATCGCTATCGGCTAACTTTATCGCAGATATTACTAGATTTATTCACCAGTTGAATAACATTTCATCTGAGCATCATTGTATTACACTAACAATTATATTCATGGCTGTCACCAGCAAAGTGTGTTATATGGATTACAACAAGCATCATCACGCTCCAGATTGCCAAGCAGTGATGCACGTACATGCGCAGTCACTTTCCAGTTGAGTGAGCATCTTGCCTTCATTGCATATCTTTTCCACAAGTGATCGACATTTGAGCGATCAATGCAATAACTCAAAAAGACCATAGTTCTGGGGGATAGTTCCTCGGGTCGAAACGGGGGCTTATATCTATATCTATCTAGCTCTACAGATTGAACATGGATCTAAGATATCGGCCGACATATCAGTATCTGATTTTTTTTCCCACCCCAATATCGGTTATGGTCCAAAATTTACCATAACAGTCAGGCCCTACAATTTTGCCCTTTATTTTAGAGATAGGACAGTAGATGATGCAGAAATCAGGGAAGGACATGCAGTGAAGGAGCCACAGGTCAGGTTGTTGTTGAGTTCATATTCACTATGGATCTCATCTTTCAGAAGGGTCACACGGGATCAGGTCCTAGGCAATAACTGAGACAGACACAGATAGGGCAGCCAAAGATGTACATGTTTTATAATAATGGATTTTGTTCGTGACATTATGCAAATTAAATGTTTCTTGTCTAAATCTATGTTTGTTTATCCCGCTCCAGATTACATTAGTTATGTAACTTGAAATGCTTTAGAAACGAACACATTGCCTTCATGATTACCTTACCAAAGGGTTTTCTATTTTAGACATTGACAGGATGAGGGTTAATTAATTAATTGTGTAGCTCTGCAAAAACGACTGTAGATAGATATATAGATAGATAGATAGATAAGTTTATATTGTCTTGAAATGCTGAGTGACCTTATCTGTGGGCAGCATCCAGCTGCCTCCCCTCTGGAGAGGAGAGGAGAGGAGAGGAGGGATGTTTCCTCGCCGCTGTGCTGTAGAGGGGCTGTTCCTTCAACACTTTCCAGCTCAGTCCGTCCAGAGCAGCGGCGGGGGATGAGCGCTGGGGACTAGGCGGCAACGCAACGACGCATTTCACAGGTAAGACGGTCTCCAGGTCCGGCGACACACCGCCTTTAACTCAGACGTTGGTTTGGATTAATGTTTTCTTATTCGCTGACCCATGTGGTCTGCGGGGGGAGGCGGGCAGCTGCTTCTGAAGGGAGCAGACAGAGGTTGAGAGTCGCATCTGCTCTGCGTTCAACATTTCCAGCGCTCCCTCAACTTGCAGCCAAAGCCCGAGCCAGCTCTACCTCCTGCCCGGCTGTCCCTGCCTCCTCCGCCGGGATTAGAGGATTGAGGACAGGACTGTGGCTCTGCGAGGACGCGGTATTAGAAGGTGAAGGGGTGCTGGGAGGACGGAGGTCTTTATTTCTCCCCCCCCCCCCAACTTGAAGCGTGTGCGGTGGAGAGCCTGCCACTGTTTGCGGACGCGCTCCTCTCAGCTGAAGGTTAAAGATTGCTGATGGAGCTAGCCAGGCTAGCGCTAGCCCAGCTGTATGTGCCGTTCTCTGGGCTGTGGAAGAGAGGCCAAACTCCCCCGCAAAATACGCAGTTTTAAATGTCCCCCCGCAGGAGTCGATATTCATATCAAGAGAACTATACTTGAGGACTTAAGCGAAATACTTTAGGCATGCCTTGTGTTCGTTTGGCACTCTGTCCGCCTTCAAAAGCCTTTTACTCATATAACATTTTAACTTGTGGAATTGCTTTGCCTTTAATGTCGAGCATCCATAATGTTCTGTGTCAGGCGACAGTGCGCATATGGAGTTATAAAACAGAGCAAGCGTTGACATGCTGTCTTTATAGTTGGTCATTCATCCGCCGAATTCAATCAAGGACCTCTGCTTATCCGTGTAAAGTCTTAAATCTCATTAAAAGAAGTATTAATCTAATTGTTGCTGTAAGGAGACCTGACAAGGCAGATGTTAAAGTGGAGGCTGGCAGCGCGCATTTGGGCCAGGCTAGAAAGCCATGGCAGCAACCTGCATAGGAAGGGAACCAGCGGCAGCTAGCGTCATGCCAAACCTGTCAATCATTTCGTAACGACATGGCGAGCGCACTCGGGTCCAGCAGCTCTCGGTTCTGCTCGGAAGCACCAAATGGATGTATGCACAAATGCGCTGCAAACAGCCCCCCTTTGGCAAATGGTTTAATGCCAAGTTGAGCTTGCTTTGATGTTCGCATGTTGTCACTTTGTCACACCTGCTGTTTGCATGATGATGGCTGCTGCTTGACCTCTCTTCTCCTTCCCCCATGCAGCCTCCTCCTGCACGCACTGCCTTGCATGACTACACAGTAAAGAACAGCAATCCCTGCCCTCAGTGTGCTGAAATTGGTAAATATAGCGCTCTATGCCTCTGATTTACGTTTTAATAATGAACACTGAACTTAAAAAGGTTTTTACAGCATAGTAATATTTAATAGCCTGCAAGTCTGGATGGGTGAAACACTGCTGTGGCTCTGCACTTTACTCGCACCTCTAATTATGTCACAGTGTTGCTTAATGGCTTTAATTTTAGAAGGTCTGGCACACGAATGGTTACTGTCACTTAGGGGCCTCTAAGGGCAAAGATTGTCAAAGCCAGGATTTCACCTGAGCTGTTCCAAGTCCAAGACTATGTGAAGACTTTAAATAGAGTAAATAGGTGGAGTAGCATGCTCTAAAGTACAGATGTTTGTGCAGTTTGCTGTTGTTTTCCCCACAGATTTCATTGACTCCTCCTTCGGCTGGTCATGCTGCAGCCTCAAATCTGTCGTAAAGCACAGCTGAGATCGGATTTTGGACACTGATGTTGTACACGTGTTGAGGGAAAAAAAAAATCAAACATAAGATACACAACTCACTGCATTGATTTGGCACTACTGTTACAAGGATGTTACGATACTAAGGAATGCTCCTAGGTTAAACAAGTCACTTGTAAACTATACATTATCAACCAAGTTATAGCTGTGACACTGGGCTGCAGCAGACAGTGCAGAGAGTGAACTATGGAGTTGAAGGACGCTCTGCTGGATAAACTTCATCATGAAGCCAACTGGTTGTTTTATGCATCATAAGTCCAATTAAAAATGTGAGATATACATTATTACATAGCTTGAGCCCATATCAGTCATCCGACATGTAAGTCAGGCTCGTCTTTGTTTATCAGTCCATCACGATGGATTCATCGATCTTGAACTCAGCGGTAGATGAATCCGTTTGATACAAACATCAACCCTATCCCGACATTCCGCTTTGTACTCCGAATTTCCATCGGCATGTCTGCGTCACTTTGCCCACACCAGAGCCAGATAGATAATCGAAAGCAGCCAAAACAAGCTGGACGAAAAAACTACTTTCTCCCTCTCTCAGGGAATAAATTATGTTTGTGGAAATATTTTGGTTTTTCAGGGAAAAGAAGTGCCAGCAGATAAAGCAATGCCACATGCAAACACGGCTGTTGTGAGGTAAAACACTTGAGGAAACAAAACACAGCTTGCCACAGAGCAAACAGAGCATAGACCCTATAGTGCTAGTGTTAAGTTTTGCACTTAGACATGAGGAATATGGCACTTTATTGTGAAGGGAGGATGGTCTATCTTATCCCCTTTTATTTAAAAGATAGATTTGTATTCAAACGGGCAGATGTACCATTCCCTAGTTTTCTGTAAGTTGTTATAGATGTAACTGACTTTTGATTAATGAGCCTTTTATGTCTCATATCGATCCCAGGCCTTTATCCGATGTTTTCAGGCCAGACTTATTGATACCAGCGAATATTGTATATCACACCGTATCTGCCGTGATTGAACTGGTGAATTACATCCTGAGTATTTATGGGCGAACTGTTGCCGGGAGTGATCTGTTCCTTCTTGCAAAGACCTTTCACAGCTCAGTGAGCTTGCATCCGAAGCTGTCTGTAAATGTCAGTAAAGACGCTTTTTCTACAACTGTGTGCGGGACACTTTTGCAGATAACTGCAGCTGATGAGTAGAAAAGAAGAAGAAGAAAAGAAAAGCCTCAACAGCATTCGTATATTTTCACAGGAGAAAGCAAGAAAGATCGTCAGTGTGTGAAACGTGGGAGTGTTTTTTTTTGTGGTAGGTCTTTTACACATCCTTGAGACTGGGATGGTGTGTGAACACAAGACCCTGCTAGATGCCCTGAAGGGGGGGGGGGTTGGGGGTGTGCTGGGATGGGATGGGGAGCGTATTAAGAAGGAAGGGAAGCAGCTCATTAATTCCTTCCAGCAGCGAAGGAAAGGGTTGGTCAGCGAAAACTGGAAGGGGCCCTCCACGGCTATGAAATGAGTCATACCAGTTCAACTTTCAGGAGTGCTCCGGCGATAAGTGTGGGCTTGGATAACTTCCTGATGTTGCAGGCAGTCTGGTTATCCCAGGGCTAGACTTTCCCTTTCCAGTAATGCGTGAGTGTGTGTGTGTGTGTGTGTGTGTGTGATCTAGTTGTATCAGCAGGTTAGAGATTATCCTCTCCTCTCTCTCTCGCCCTCTCTGTCCGCTCTCTGCCTCTCTTTGGTTTAATTTCTAGGCCAAGTGCATCAAGAATTTTTTTATTTTTTTTCTGCCATTGGGTAGCTGCGGCTGTAGCCTTTGAAAGTCATCTGATGTTTGCCCGGCTACAGGGATCCCCTCGGAGGTCCTGCCTGATGTCACATGTGATGTCAGAGCCGAGGTGACGCAGGCAGGAGGACGCGGGGTGGTGGTGGATGTAGCCAGCCAGAAACGTGTGAAGGCTACAGACATCTGCCAGTGTGTGTCTCCGAGCGAGAAAGCAGGACAGTAAGTCTGAGGGCTGAAATGAAACACACATTTAGCATGGACGCTGTTATGACGTAGCTGGTGGATGTTCACGTGTTTGGCAGATGGTTGAGCTGCCTGCTTTGTTATTTCTATGTGTCAGTTTCATGTGACTGCCGTGATGAAGACATTGACACAAACCTCACTTTTAAATCATAACCTAATCAGTTTGGACTTATGCCATGAATTGAAGAATATTGGCATTTATTTATAGCTGTTTATGCTCACTGCATCAAAAGTGTATTAGAGCATGGCTGTAATACAACCTCCAGTTCAAATGTACACACGCTGTGGGAGAAAGCTTTGCAAAATCACATTTCTTGTTTGTTGTGATCAATTCAGACTTTTGCGACGTGTTTATTGCGAATGCACATGATGCAATAACAATAGAGTTGTGATTTATTGTGCAGCCCTGGGAGACGTTAGTGTGCATGCGTCTCATTGTGTCACTTTCCTTTCAGCACTGTCTGCAGCACGATGTATCAAATCAATTCAACTGAGAAGTGTTTGTCTGCACAATATGAAAAACAAATAATCTTTGCAGTCAATTAAGGCCCCGTGTCAACCTAGCGTTTTTTCTTTTTTTCTGAGCGCCTGCATCTTTTTTTCAGTTGTTTTCAATGGGTAGAGAGCGTTCACAGCAGGAAACGGCCACCTGAAGACAAAGCTCTGTGACATTTTTGTGCAGCCGCTCCAAGCTCTTTTTTTCAGAAAGGCGCTGTTGACGTCACCAGCGCTATTTTCCAAATGTATGATATTCCCCGTAGTTTTGCTGCCTACGGATCGTTTCTTGTAGCCACATCCTCTTGGGTAAATCGGGTAAAAAACGACCTCAATTACACAACATGCAGTAAAAAGTAATGTAGCAGTGTCGGTCATACAACGGCCTTTGTCAACAGACTGTTGTCATGGAGACAGGACAGACGTGCAGCGCTTTTCTTTTCAGCGCACAAGCGCTTCATGCTAACACTCCTGAGTGTACAGCCAGCGCTTTTCTGCCTGGAAATAACCCTAGATGGACACAGGGCCTAATGTTGGTCTATAAGAATAACCAAACATAAAGTGTGCATTTTCCCTTTCCTTGGCTCTACTGGTCTGTGAAAACAAGTCCTCTCCTGAACCCAAATGAATTATTCCATCCAATGGGGTCTTTGTCAACCCCATTTTCCTTGTCCTCAGCTGGCATGCTAGCGAACTCCGCAGTCGACACTGGGTCAACTCCATTTCAGTGTGCTGGTGGA